TAGTGGAAAGGAAGAAATGTATTCCGAACATATAGAAAATTGACCAAGAAGAGAATTTGGAAGAGAACCCTGTAATTTTCGAGCAGGAAATTGAAAAAGATTCAATAAATGTCGGGAAATATTTCAAGATTTTGAACATCAAAAATGAAACATTTACTGTTTCCTGTAAAATTTCAAATAAATGAGAGCGTTGAAGCAACTAAAGAACTGGTTACGTTAGGTTACCTGGGTTACCATATGGAACCTAGGTTCTTTGAAATTTTTTTAACGACCGTGCGGAAAAGTACTTCTCCGCACGCATTTTAGAACATGAAAGTACCAAGATGACTTAACATTGCATAATTATTTTACTTTTCCGCACTAGTGAGGAAAAGTAATATTTTCATGGCCAAAAATGCGTGCAGAAAAAAGTAGCTTTCGTGCGCTCGTTGAAAAAATGTTTCGCCTCCGGCGGCGCCTGCAGCGTGCTTCTCCCTCCCCCTATAAACAAATTTATAGTTTTTATCCTGCACCCATGAGGACTTTCAAAAGTCGGCGCCTCTGCGCTCTCTTGGTAACTTGCAGCCTGATTCGAAGGGAGCATCTCGTTTTTGCATCTTTTTCGAAACGCCCAAACTTTCTACTGTACATCAGAATTTGAACACTCCCCAGAAAAATTTGTCAGAATTTCTAATTGCTTGGGTACTTGTCGGGATATCTACGTGAATACGCTTACGATTTATTATTTTGACACATTTTTTTTTAACAATAAACAAAAAAGAGTACCTAACCTACCGGGGTAACTTTGTGACATGTAATTCTTATGGGAGAAACTTATGCTCAACCTAAAACAATGCTAAAAGGATCCACATGTCTCCTAATGTAGACGACTTCCTATGGGTGGAGTTCACATCCCAATTTCTGGATGAATATGAGGGTAATAAATACTATATCGTATGATATACAATAAAAGTTTAAAATGTCTAAATCAGTATGAACCCGTGTTTATAATATCAGAAAATTATCGAGCATATATTTCTTGACATTTCCTATCGTTTCAGACTAAAAATGACGGGGTTACATTATGTTTTCATTGAAAAAAACGCACTGTCACAAAGTTACCCCGCATCACGGGGTAAAATTGTGACACTTTCAAATTTAAAAAAAGCTGAATTATTAAATTTTTTTCAATTTCCGAGAACTGCTATTTTGTAGCGGAAGAACGGATATATTGTTTGCCCAGCGGATCTGAGTCTACGGAAGGAATTCGGACGTAAATGTGCCATGTTGCCACGTTTAATTATAAAAAAGCGAAAATACTAGGCATGAGGTATAGTTAATTTGAAAATCCATTTTTTAATAACAAAATGTTGATAACAATAATAAAATGTTTAATATTTTAACGTGGTTGTTAGATCTATCCTTATTTTAATCCTGATTTCTTAAATTTGGACTATTGTAAAAAATAAAAAATTTCTAAAGATACCATCAGTTTTTGACAATTTGGCAAGCATCCGTCCTGGATGAACCTGATTGGTGGAGTTTTTGGCAGGATCGCCGTTGTCATGGGGAACCATACAGTTGTCAATGATCTAACGTCACCTTACGTCTCGCTATTGGCCAGGGCTCACGTCATTTTATCCTTCCATCTTGGAATATCGATTTATATTGACATATCCAGTGGCGGAGATTTGGTCATTGCTGATTTTCGTGTAAGAGTTGCAATACAATAACACTTCCAAAAAGTTCCGCACGCTGCTGGGTATTTTATGAATGAAATCAGCCATTTTTTTTACAACTGCATTCCCCTTACCGTTGCCCCGTAGACACAGACTCGCTGGGCAGACATTACATAGTGTATTTTTTTTAGAATTTTATATGGCAAAGAAATGTTTGAGAATTTCAAAAAACCCCTAAATCTGTCACAAAGTATCCCCGTTTTACGGTACCAAAAAATCTTCCGGAAAATTAATGATTTGAACTTATTTAACGTTGTAAAAGAAGTCATAATTGATTTAAAAGATCCATAAAAAAGTATCCAACTATAAACGAAAATTGTCTAGTAGATCAACTAAACCAAACCTATTGAAATACACAGATGATATTGTATGTACCATCGTCACCAAAAGCAACTGGGACTGCATCATATAGGCGCTCATACTATTATATGAATTTTAGTGTCAAATATTTGTCAAACTATGAATTAACTGCATTGAAATGAATGATGGTAGAATTAGTCCAGGAGATTAATATGAATTATTTTTGTCCCAGATACTTTTGGTGACGATTACGATGGTACATTCTACTAACGGGAGAAAAAAACTACATAATAATGATAAAAGGAATTGCTAATGAATCGACAAAAATACCGGGTGCCTACGAGATCACTTTCTGGCTGCCATTCTTTTATTTGTCTATCGATATCAACGAAACTCGTTAGTGTTGATATTCTAACCAAACGCCATTTTTATGCAATTATGACAAGTTTTCCTGACTTCCAGTTTCACTAGAAATGACCGCAACTTTTGATTTTTAAATGACACACCCTGTATATTTTTTGTTTTTCGGATTCTACAGATCGTTTTACATCATAATGCACCACTTTTGACTCGATTTTTGTCCAAATTTTGTTTTTAAATTAAATTTTAATTTTTCAACTATAGTGTCATGATCGTCCTAAAATGACTCTACATACTTTACTCAATTTTAGAAAAATACAAACTCAATTTTATCTTTGTAAACTTTTTTGATAGAGGGCTGTAAACTTCATTATTTCAGTATTTTTGCCCTAGCTCAAAAACTAGAATAGAAACATATCACTTTCATAACATTACTAAATGCAGTATTTTAATCCAACGATATAATACACTACGCCATTTTTCTCAATTTTCGTTCACATATTTTTGTAGGATTTTTTTTTTTTTCCACTTAAAATTTGATTTGAAAACAAAATTTGGACAAAACTTGATTCAAAAGTGATACATTAGGACGTAAAACGATCTGTAGAATCCAAAAAACAAAAAATATACAGGGTGTGCTATTTGAAAATCAAAAGTTTCCGTCATTTCCGGTGAAACTGGAAGTCAGGAAAACTTGTTGTAGATGCATAAAAATGGCGTTTCGTTAGAATATTAAGCCTAGCAAGTTTCGTTGATATCGATATACAAATAAAAAATGGCAGCCGGAAAGTAATTTCGTGGGCACCCGGTATAAGAAAAATAAATTATAATCAAACAAAAACTATGTCAAACCTACGAAAGAACTTATCATCGCAGTAGCACAAACCAAACAAATAGAAGAAGTAAAGGAAGGAATATTGAAAAATGTATGCTTTGGAGAAATTATAAAATCAAGTATCTATTGAACCAAGTAAAGAAAGTCAGATGAGCAAGGAGAAGAAAAAGGTTGGCTTTGGCCTCGCCAATATCCAGAAGAATAGAAAATACCCCACAACTTCTGAGAGCGAGTACCTATTCAGAGGTAAAAAGGGAGTATTTATCACTCCCTAGGATGGACTGGATGGAACTTTACAAGGGATAATATCGTAGGAATTGTATATATTTTTATTATACAGCACACACATTCTGATTTTTTCAGATTATGAATTTTTCATATCGATCTGTCAGAGTGACTGTGACGAGCGTTTTGAATTCCGGATCTGCAAAATTAAGATTATAATTCATAACGCATGTTTTTCCATATGTTTCAAATATAGGTACAAGCTCACACAGCCGGAATTCAGATTCTGCTTATTCCCTTTCAACCAACGCCGCTCAAAATATACCTCAAACTACGAGAATAGGTAGGTAGGTACTATGGTCACGGAATTTTTGAGATATGTGTGCGGCAATGTGCCGGAATCCAGATCCTGAATTCTGTTCCTGAATTCAGAAAGACGTTCCGGCTGTTTGAGGCTGGTCTAGGTGTCTGAAAGAAAACGAAAACAATTTTTTTAAAACTTTTCAGATAGGTAGACAAAGAAGTCTATCACACCTCCGTTACGTTATTTTATTTATATTACAAGACTACACGGATAACACCCACGACTATCGTGAATTTGCATAGCCAACTATACGTTTTTATGGGTTATCCGAGGTAGTTTATTGGCTCTAAGAATCACCGGCAGCCTAGGCACCTAAAAAGTAAAGAATTCCAATTAGCTTCAAATAAAAACATCGACCCACTGCTAGAGGAATCTGAATAAAAAAAATACATATTTTCTCGGCTCTGAAAGCAGGGAAATTTTCATTAGATCCGTACGATCGGCGAGGTAGGTATGCCTTATTGCCTTGCAGTTGATAGACTTAAAACACAAAAGCGCCTATATCTTCATGAGTTTTAGATAAAGGGCCCTTATTATTATTTTATTGTATGGTTGAATAATTTTCTCAGCAAATGGATTCGGTTATTCGCTCGGTTATTCGTCTATAGTAGGCGACGTTTCAAATGCTTGAGGAGGTATAGGACAAAATCACCTAATTTTATTCACTCCCGAAAACGAGGGAAGAGGCATGCCAACAATTACATTTTTATTACAATTTTAAAAATTAGACTAAAAAATAGCACTGCAATTTTCAGTAATTTTTCATAGATTTTTGAAGGGGTCGGTACCTAAGGTCGGTACTGTCGGTACCTACCTATTACCTATTGCAAATGCAGCAAATAAATATAACAACAAAGTCGAGTAGAAATAGTTCACAAAAATGTATATTTAGGTTGGGGTCACCTGCTAGATTTTAGCCTGGGCAGGAATGTGTGGCAAATGGAGTGTAACAAAAAGAAACATTTTGGCAAAACTCACTAGAGCAACGAGATTAATAGAAACTAAAATGCGTTGGGTTTGCTTAAACTTTGCCATGTCAATTTTTCACTTCATTAGAAAAACCATTAATTCGATTTAGCAAAAAAATAAATCAATTGCTACGCTAAAATCATCAATCAAATTCCAATCAACACAATTTCAGTGTTTATTTTAAAATCTGGAATATTTAACGTTTTTGTGAAAAGAAAGCATCACTTACGGTTTGGATAAAAAGCCATGGCAGCTCCAAAAACAATTTCCAATACTCCCACCGTTCTTCGGTACCATTTCGATGGTATTTTAAAATTGAGTACTTCCGATAATGGAAAAACTTTGGCGTATTTCACGTATTCTTTTCGCTGAAAAACAATAAATAAAATTATTTCGTTATGACATTTAATTTGGGGAAAAGTAGCCGCACAATATTGGCTATAAGTAGGTATAGATCCTGGCCAGGCAAACGGCCAACAAATTTGCGAGCGTCTTCTAACTGAAATACCTAAGTATTACATATTGTTGTCTATTGGGTTTGCTTTCATCAATGAATTAGTTAATTGATTAGGTAATTAAAGTTAAAGTGATTAAGATTGTTTTTAAATTACTTACCAAGTCTTTGTGTAAGTCTTTTGAAACAATACTAGATATTTTAATAATTCCCACGAAAATAAAAAAAAGTCCTAAAAGTACAGATAGTGTTTTAAGCACAGGAGAACCCATAATATAGCAAAATTGTTCCTTATTTGTCTTTAATTATTACAATTCAGCGCACTTCACTCGCGAGCGTTTTGCACTTTTATGAAGAAACTTATTTTATGAATATCCTAAGGCATTTTTCATTTTTTATCGCCTATTATTTTTGTTTCTCGATTTTCGGATTGTGGAGCATTTTCATTTTTGGAAAGCGTTTGCGCGTATATTTCCCGCGATCAATACCTATACTATTTGGTAGAGAGAAGCGCGCGGTGTTATCTTCAACTAAAAATATTCATCCTTGCCATTGTTTTATTAATTTAATCTAAATCGATATGTAATTTGAATGTATTTCAACAATAATAAGGTATTATTGTAATTGAGGATTAAAATAATTTAAAATAATCAAAATTTAAATTAATTAAATAGGACAAAAATAATTTTCCAGCCAGAACCTCTAGTGGTCAGGCAAATCGAATCTATTTTTGTGTCTCAACAGTTGCCTACTCAGTCACCTCGAATTTTAAACGCGTGCCATCCGCGCCAAAATTTTATACATACATTTCCTTCTAAAATACTCAATTAACTCACATAACAAAATTGCATCCTTAGAATGTATTAAGAAAGTTCTTTTTTTAGGAGGAATGTGCCTAGAATGTTCGCCAAAACCATTGCGAATGTCCTGAGAATGTTCTGAGAAAAGATTGTAGAAATACTGTTTGCAATACCCAAGAACTTCCTGAGAAATCCATTAGGATATTCCTAGAATATACCTATGAGATTCTCAGTACATCCTAAAAAAAATATTCTTGTTTGATTCTAAAAATATGCTCAATATGTATAGGTATTCTCACATTCAAAGAATGTTTCTATGACATTATAGTTATGTTCTCAAAAGAATATTATACCAAAATGCTTGAAATATTCTTAGAATATATCTACATATATCATTCTCAATATGCATCCTAGACATAACATTCTTGGTTGATTCTAAGGATATACTTGGAATGTTAATTTTCGCTTCCAAATAATGATCCTTCCTTGGAAAACTTCTCTGGAAAACACAAGTATTTAACCAAAGCTCCGGTTTCGAGCTTGTTATGCTCTCGTCAAGGCACACCAACTGAGAGAAACAAGTTCCAAGGTGATTCAAACGCGAGGTAAGATGTAGATCTTTAATAGCGCGTGGCTCCCTCTCTTGGAAGTCCTACAAAGTAAAAGGAAAAGAATATACCTATAATATGCTTAGTAGGTTCTAGATAGATTATTGTTTAATTGTTAAATTATGATTTTTGAGTAGGTACCTAGTTCAGATAATTAGGTGAACAATATGAAAATATTCTTATCATGGTTACCTACCTACATAAACTTCTCAGCACAACTTGGTAGGTATATTCTTAATACTTGATAGAGATATTAGCCAAAAGAACATTTTTTAGGGTACATTATAATAATGTTCGTATGAAAATATTCAAAGATTGTTATATAAAGTAGGTTCTTAGCACAATCTTTCAGGTAGGTGCATAGAACCAACATTCCTAGTACATAAATAGAACGTTCAAAAATGAATATTTCAATCGAAACAATCTTGGAATATTCATTAAACATTCCTAAAAGAACATTCCAAAAAGCACTTTGAGGGAATATTCTGAGAATATGAATGTTCTTTCACTGTTATGTGGGAAGTAAGTATATGATTTGCAATTTTGCAGACAAAGGTAAAATAGAAATATGGTTGATAGAACTTCGCTGACTACTTACCCCTGAATTGGCAACAAAATCGGTGAATATCGGTTTGAATATCGAAAATATCAGAAAATACCCTTAAAAATCCATTTTTATTTCCCTCCACAGAATGTTTGACAGGATTACCTATTTATCATTTCACTGATACATGAATCCAACAGCACCATCAGGGCCTTCTTTCAGGCTACTAAGATGGTATACGGTATACGGACCAAACACTCAAGGATTCAATTCCCTACGATCCAGAGATTGGAAGAAACACTTTCAGGAACTGTTCAACAGAGAATCACAAATTAATGATGACTTCAACGAAATTCCATAGAAACCAATACTTACAACAAGAACTGAGCGAGGTTCTTAGACTAGAGAAGGTTGAAAAGGCATCAGGGCTGGAACTCTGTAACGGATAGAGATCGTTATCCCTATCGCTATGGCACTTACTGTCTTCTTCTCTCTTGTCAAAATCAATAGAGAGGAGACGTCAATAGAGATAGAGAAAATATCTCTATTCGTTACAGAGTTCCAGTCCAGATAACTAAAGAACAATAAGTCCGATGGCACTGACGGTATTCCTGCTGAATTCTTTAAACAAGAAGGCCCCACATCGGCCACATCAAGTACCCAAATCCACATCCTTAAGAGTAAAATATGGATTACTGAGACCATACCTGCCGAACTTAAAGATGCCTCCATAGTTCCTATTTTTAAAAAGGAAGACAATACTCAATGTGGACATTACAGAGGGATATCTTTACTTTCTGTTGCGGGAAAGATACTTACCAGGATATTATCAAATCTTCTAATCCCAGCTGCCGAAGAGAACCTCACAGAGAAACAGTGTGGCTTTAGGCCCAACCGACAGCTGACATGATTTTCATTGCAAGAAACATGCAAGAGAAACCCAGAGAGCAAATCGCCCTCTATACAGGGACGGAGCCCCCCCCAAAGTTCCTAAAATATATCTAAAGTTGGGAAAATTTGGATAAAAAATTTAAAGTTGGGAAAAATTGGTAGACAAAAATTTGCGCACCTTATTTGCGAGGACTAATTATTATTATTATTGTCTTTTGAGAAATACTTAAGAATGAAGTTAACTGACTTTTCAGAATCCATCGGTGTAATGTCTGGAGATCGCGGAGGCCCGTTAATGGTACCACTAGTGGAAATTATTATTCCTGGAATTATGAGCTTGATATGTCGTTGGATTTAGATTAAAAAGTAGAGTTTATTAAGCATAAAATAAAAAAAACTCGACCATTTGAAAAAACAAAGTTGATGATGATCGCGAAGAAACGAAACGTCTGATCAAAAATTTAATAACATTATCATGTAGTGGAGAAAAAGTAGCAATGAGAATGTGAAGTTTATTGTGCGATATCATTTCAAATAAAGTCAGAAAAAAATAAAAACCATTTCGGCAAAATTCGGTTTTTCATGGATATCTTCGGAATTAAGTGCGTTTTTTTTTTAAAGATAAAAGTCAAAATGACATTATGTTGGCAATACAATGTAAAATTGTCAATGCTTTCAAATTTTTATGTAGAAAAGGCTTGTGTTGCCAACAAAGTTACTAAATTTTTGACTTGGGGAATTATCTTTAAAAAAAAAACGCACTTTATGTAATTCGGAATTTACGAAATATCAAAACATGACGCCACTGAGCTCAGTAATGCGCAACTCTTTCCAAATTTAACCAACCCTATATCTCTTATGGTTGCCGAAATCAGACTGCATCCTTATCCGGGACACCCTGTATACATGTCAAACTTTTTATCAATTTTTGAAGTGAAACTTCTTAGGCGGCGGTCTGATATTTAGACAAGAATATGGAGATGGAGAGTGATTTGAAAAACGCATCACGTAACGTCACGTTTTGGCAAATTTCGTTACACGAGAGATGAGAGAGAAGGAATATATAGTAGACTGTAGAGAGACGGAGAAAGCGAGCCAATGGGTACATTCAGGCGGTCCCAGCGGCTAAGCTCAGCCACTCAGCAGGAACTTTATTCTCGAAACAGAGGAGCAGCGTTCTCATTGGAACGAAGGTTCTGTCTTTGTCGTCCGGCATAACACTGACAATGGCAGAGCAATCGTTCTTATGAGAACACTGTTCCTTAGTTTCGAGAATAAAGTCCCTGATGAGTGGCTGAGCTTAGCCGCTGGAACCGCCTGAATGTACCCAATGACAATCACAGACGAGGAACGATTAACACAAACCAAGGTTTATAAGCAAAGAGGAATGCCTATTGTTGTCAAGCGCAGATACCCTTGTGACGTCACTATAGATGCGCGTCTCCCTTTTGTGTGGCCTTTCATCTTTACTCCGACTCATACGCTAAGTCTAAAAGCTGTATGAGGGAGGGTATAGTTTTTAAAAAGTTTCACCTCCCAACACGTGCACAATGCGCTGCACATGATTTTTCTTAAGTGAAACTTCTTATAAAGTGTTTTGAAAGACGCGTCACGTTAACGTAACGACACGTTTTGGCAAATTTCGGCACACGAGAGACGAGAAAGAAGAAAGATATAACGTAGACAGAAGGAGAAAGACAGCCAATGACAATGACAGCCGACGAACGATTCACACAAACCAAGGATTATAAACAAAGTGGATTGCCTATTATTGTCAAGCGCCGTTACCCTTGTGACGTCACTTTTGTGTAGCCTTTCGTCTTTATACCTCGACTCATGCGCTATGTCTAAAAGTTGTATGAGGAAGGGAATAGTTTTTAAAAAGTTTCACTTTTTAACACGTGTACGATGCTATATATGATTTTTTTTATGTTTCAAAAAAGTTGGGAAAATTAGGAATGTCACCCCCCCCCCCCCCCCCCCCAAACCAGAGGCCTTCGCTACGTCCCTGCCTCTATACATGGCCCTAGATTTAGTAAAAGCATTTGATGCGGTCAATAGAGAAGCTCTTTGGAACATATTGGCAAAGGTTGGGTGCACTGGCGTATCCAGGGGGGGGCAAAGGGGGCAATTGCCCCCCCCCCAGAGCAACAACCTTTTATTTCTCAAAAATATCTCAAATGACTAAAAATATTTTTTTTACTCGCGTGCGCCAAGTTAATACTTTGCACACTTATTGGCGTACGCAAAGTTTACCTTTGCGCACGGAACCTCTTTGCACACTCATTTCTTGCTACGCAAAATTACCGTATTACCTACCGGATTTCTTAATGTTTTGTGGGTTTCTGGATGTAGAAACTAATACCTATTCGAAAAGAAGGGCTTCATGTTATTTTTGTTCCAAGAAAGCATAGACCTATTAATACTAAAATATGGACGGAGTCGATCTCCATTTAGCACACGCAGCAAACATGGTGACAGAATGAAAGTGACATAGCGGAATAGAAAATTAATGAGTATGACAAGAAGCAGTGTATGATGCAATCACGTGACGACCAGCAAAACCACGTATATTTGCGCTGATGCTATCTCTCTTTACTCTTCTGTCATCGCTATTCTCTCTCGAAACTCCGTCCATACGTCATACGTTATTGTTAATCGGTCTATGCAAGAAAGGTATCCATGTAATGTTTAGCTTTTTTAATTTGACACTTCCCGTATGAAGAGTGAGGGGAGGAAAAATCTAGCAAAAACAGGTGACCATTGGCGTGGGGAGCCACCAAGTTATCAACTCACATTCCTTTGGAGTATCAGATCATAAAAGTTGGACAGTGTTATACTCGTTTATATACTTCTCAACTTAATGGT